TAAGGTTACTGATTTAATTACCATTTTTTAAAAAAATTAAATACAGTAGTTATTGTTATTGCTAATGATAATTTTTCTCCTTTGAATAAAGTATAGCAGGAAATTGTTGTTATGGGTTTTTTGGGCTCTTTGGCCATGCTCTGAAGGTTGTTCTTCCTGATGTTTCGCCAGTCTCTGTGGCCGGCATCTTCAGAGGACTAGAGTAGGAACTCTGCCCATGCTCTGTTGCTGTTTGTTGGATAGTTGGGTATTTATAGCTGTGGGAACAAGCTTTTATCCTTTTCAGGAGATAGGGTGATGAAGGTGATCAGAGTGCTTTTGTTGTGGATGTATTATTGTGATAAAGGGGGAGAGATTATCTGCCGCTGTGATTAATGGGTGTCTTTAGCTGGTCTTTTTTATGCACAGGGAAGCCACTGAAATCTATAAACATCAGAAGAGCTTCAACAACAAAAAAGAAAGTCTAAAACTTAACAAGGTCTGGCTCCCAGCACTGAAAAATGCAGCCTGCAAAAGGTCAACGAACTCTGCCCAGCCACAAGGACCAGGGATCATTGCACAAAAAAGACCAGCTAAAGACAACCATCAATCACAGCGACAGATAAACTTTCCCCCCTTATCACAACAATACATCCACAACAAAAACATGCTGATCACCATCATCACCCTATCTCCTGAAAAGGACAAAAGCTGTTCCCACAGCTATAAATACTCAACTATCCAACAAATAGCAACAGAGCATGGACAGAATTCCTACTCCAGTCCTCTGAAGATGCCGGCCACAGAGACTGGCAAAATATCAGGAAGAACAACCTTCAGAACATGGCCAAAGAGCCAAAAAAACTCACAACAACCATCAAATCCCGGCTGTGAAAGCCTTCGAGAATACATATAGCATAAAAGCTATCCCAGTATGAATGATTTACATGTTGAACTGCAGATATTTCACAATTATTTCAAATGGTAAATAACTAAACAATTATTAATTTTCTTACTGTACAACTAACCTGAAAAGTTATTATTCTAAAAAAAGAAACGTCCATCTGTTGCAAATATTAAGATTATAGCAACCAGCAGAAATGAGCTTTTATGTAGAAAAGAATGGTTTAAATTGAGTTTTACTAACTAGTGATTTAAATCAAGATTTAAATCAAATCCACCCTGACTATTTCCATAATACTTTTTCCAAGAAAAGAGTGAATTTTGCAAGCAGACTTTCATTTTCAACAGATGTCTCTAATTTGGGGTAATTCAGTTTCCTTCTTGCTTTCATTTTGGAAACATAATATCTACCACTGTAAATAAAATTAAAGCCATTTACAAATGCCAGAGGTCCAACTTTAAAATAATCACAAAAATCAAGCATAGCATTTTTACAGAGGGGAAACTTGAAGAGGGACATCTTTTAAACTACTTCAAGACTGACAAAACTCACTTTTTTCCAGCCCTTGTTAACATAATATACTGAACTGAATAAGAAAGATCAGGTGTGTGATGAAGAAAGGGTACGCAACCTTTCATCCTCCACATATTTGGACTTCAGTTCTAAGGGCCAACATGGCCATGGTCAAGGACTCAAGGTTTGTGTGTTCCAATCCAAAATGTCTGGATAGCCAAAGTTTGAATATTACTGTTGTATTAAACTACAGAATTTTCTGCAAATACCAGAAAATTCCAGCCCCCACATTTCAAATATGTTGCGATAAGATTTAAGAAAACTAAGTCAAGTACGCCCAAAGCCATATTTGTTAATGTCATCTCCTTTAAGAAGCCATTCCACAGCTCTGCCCCGGGATGTAAGAAACCAAGCCAGTTACTGTACTTGCTTTTGCCTTAACTTACCTCAGACACCTTATTCCTCCTATTGTTCAGTCCCTCTATGAGTTTATAGGCACACTACACCTCCCTCCCTCCCTCCCGTTCTTCCTGTAAGTCTTCATTTAACTTAAGCCAAGCTGAGCAACCTCAGTCCTTCACTACTATTCACTGAATGCAAATTTCAGATTCCTCGATGCTTCTGTGGATCAACCATCTCTTGGATTTTGTTTCAAGGTATTTCCAGCTCTTTTACCAAAGACTAAAACTGCATATTGGCCAGTGCCTGTTTGCCACCCCAAACAGCAGCCCTGTATCTTTTCTTCTTCTTCCTTAGTAATTATTAGTAATACAATCAACGTGTACATCAGTGTCCAATGAAGTGGAGGAAAGAACGGAAACATGCAATCTGATGACACTACGTCACTCATTTTGCAATGTTAAATATTACAGCACACAGAAGATAAAGAGCACACATCTTGGCAGCAGCCACATCTTTGGCCCTGCTGTGCAGTTCTGGATGTAGTTTTATCTCTACCTGGTGACACACAAATGTCTTTCGTGGCAACCCAAAAAATGGATGGAAGGAAGCAGGCAGTAAGATGTCTCCATTTGCCTTATCTGTCAAGATATTGACCTTACCTGTAAACGTGAATAGTTTAAGGGCAAGGTCTCTGTCTATTATTGAGCATATATTATTTATATATTTCTGTTTCTCTGAACATTAGACGGGATCACTTTGACAAGCAACAATGTCATCCCTGTCATTAGGAAGAGAGAAGTTAACAACGCTTGACAGTAGATACTAAGGGCTGATCACAACAGTGTCCCTACAATGGTTCCTGATGAATATCTCAGTAACTCCCATATTACCATCTCTACACAAGAACTGGAGGTTGTTCATGATTTCATGTACCTTGGCTCAACGATCTCGGACACTCTCTCCCTAGATGTCAAGCTGGATAAACGCATTGGCAAAGCAGCTACCATGCTCTCTGGACTTACAAAGCGAGTATGGCTTAATAAGAAGCTTGACGGGATACACCAAGATCCAGGTCTATAGAGCCTGTGTCCTAAGCACACTCATGTACTGCAGTGAGTCCTGGACCCTTTGTGCATGGCAGGATAATAAGTTGAATACATTCCATATGCATTTTCTCCAACACATTTTTGGTATCACCTGGCAGGACAAAGTTCCAAATACTGTAGTCCTGGAACAAGCTGGAATTTTTAGCATGTATAAGTTACTGACACAGCAGTAACGTTGGCTTGGTATGTTGTGAGAATGGCTGACGGTCAGATTCCAAAAGATCTCCTGTACGGAGAATTAGTGCAGGGAAATTGCCCCAGAGGGAGACCACAGCTGTGATACAAGGAATGGACCTCAACAGATGGGAAACTTTGACATCTGAGTGTTCAGCCTGGAGGCAGGTGGTGTATCATGGCCTCTCCCAATTCGAAGAGACCCTTGTTCAGCAGGCCGAGGCAAAGAGGCAGTCACGAAAGCAGCAAAATCAGGGAGCTGGACAAGAGACAGATTGTATTTGTCTTTAGTGGGGAAGAGACTGTCACTCTCGAATTGGCCTTCTCAACCACAGTAGATGCTGTTCCAAGACCTCTATTCAGAGCATGTTACCATACTCTCTTGAGACTGAATGATCTCTACACAAGAATTACAGAACTGCATTTACCACAGGGCCTGTTCAGGGCCTCTAAACTGTCCTCCCACCTCAGGTGATGATGAGGAAATGCTATATTTAACAAGCAGTTTGGGGGTTTTTTTTAATGTACATCCTCTTCTTACCATACAGTATTTGCTTCAGGCAGGAAAATGTATTGGGCTGGCCATACTAACCAGTCATCTTATTCTGAAATGTGTGGAACTCTGAAAGAAGATGGTGTAGAGTGTAGCCTATAGCAGGGGCCCCCGATCCCTGGTCCGCAGTTCGGTGCCGGTCCATGGCCATAACAGGACCAGGCTATGGAAACAGATCTCACACCCTCTCGTATGCACTCCACCCATGTACCCCACGTGCACACACGGCCTGCCACCTGCACACACTGTTGCCCCTCACCTCTGTGAGCATACCCCTCCCCTCCACACATGCACGTGATCACCCCCTCCCCTCCGCAAGCATGCCCCTCCCCTCTATAAGTGCACCCTGCCCTCGCATATGTGAATGATTGCACCCCTCCCCTCCATGCATGCACACAAGCATGCCCCACCCCCAGCACACAGATCCCGCCCCCCAACTGGTCCACAGTTCAGAAAAGGTTGGGGACCACTGCCCTAGAGCACCCAACGACGAATTGCAGGTCTCTAGCATGCACACAAGCATGCCCCACCCCCAGCGCACAGATCCCGCCCCCAACTGGTCCAACTGGTCCACATTTGGGTGCCCTAGAGCACCCAACAACAAGTTGCAGGTCTCTGCTATATGCTGCTTTCCATTACAGTTAATCCAGAATGGAAAGAAACACATGAACATCTACCACATTCCTTAAGCAAGAGTCACAATGGCAACCATACATATGTAAGCTTGTCATGAGAGGCCACATTTAGTAGAATGAGGTGACACATTACCCATACATGCAGCAAAATAGGGTGGATCATACCACTATATGTGATAGATGAAGACAATTTCCCACACAATAAACTTGGTGCAAAACATCCATATCCACCAGAGAGAAAGGTTTTAGTCCATTCAATATTCTGCTAGCTTCCTGAGCTAGTTCTCTGGGTGGTAGGGGAGGAAGAATCATTAAAAATAATGATTCCCTACATACAGCTGCAGGATCATTTATAATTTATCATAACCTCTTTCCCAAAAAAGCACATGTACTAAAATTATGTTATTGTCCTTATACGAGGAAAATTCCATTTTGCAGGTTTTGTGGAGATTCGAGGTGATAAAAAAAAATAATCTGAATATAAAATGTTTACCTTTTGTTGCCCATTTAAATGAGCTGATGATGGAGGAGCCAAGAACATAAAAAATCTTCTATTGCACCAAATCTAGACAATTATTCCACATAAATCTTTACAATGTAGCATTGATTCCATTATCCAATCCCTCCAATGATCCTTTCAGACTTTTTAACTTGAGATCTAAATGTGCTGCCACCAAAATGCTTGTTGATGGTAAGCCAAGATGTACAGAGAAAAGCCACACTTTCAGACTTACCTGGCAAAAAAAGACGCTGCTACTGAGGTTCCTGTTGATGTATCAGTGGCCACACAGGTGCTTTGGGAGGCAGGAAAGCTATACATAGAAGGCTTGTCTGCATTGTAGCGGTTCAATACAGCTTCAGTTAATCCCTCTCGGCCAGTCTCGGTCATCAACTGGGAAATCTGAGATTTAAAAAATCAAAAAGACGGGAAAATTTATTTATTTATTTATTATTTATTCAATTTATATGCCGCCCAAACTACCCAGAGGTCTCTGGGCGGCTTACAATAAAAGCTTGTTGGGTGGAACTTTACCTCATCACAATGTATATCGGAAGAGGTGGAGAGAAAAGTATCACATTCAGCACTACTGTGACCTTTTAGATGCATTTCTTGCCTGTACAAAGCCATTCAGAAGCATTTCGGCTAGGACTTCACCTCATTTTCATTAAAAGCAATGGGCTAAAATAACCCCTGACATTCTAGGTTTCCATTATGGCTTTGCTGCTTCTTATGTCTGAAGGAGAAAGTGTAAAGCATTATCATTGCTCCACTTCAACACCGTGAGGAACATGAAGACATTAGTCAAAGCCTGTTTAATAACAGGAAATCTCCACAAATGTTTGTAACTGCTATACAATCTAGCTGTTTTTCACACAAGTCAACCTGGTGACCAGGAAGAATAGTAGGCATATTAATGTCTTCTGAACTTCAAAGACAGGTGATTAGGAGTAATGCAATAACTTAATCTATATTTCATAGACTGTTAGCTATGATTTCGTATGGAATAATAAATATCGATGTAAGCATAGAATGTAAAGGACAACACACATTCATTGGCTGAATTCCAGTAGTAAGTCACAGTTAGAATAGGTCACTGAATCAATTGAATTTACAGAGGAGCTTACTCACCAAACCCTTTACGGCTGAATTCCAGTAGTAAGTCACAGTTAGGTCACTGAATCAACTGAATTTACAGAAGAGCTTACTCACCAAACCCTTTACTAATGGGCCTATTCTAGTTGCAACTTACTATTGGGTTTCAGCCATTGTCTGAAAATGTGGTTAGTGATATAAATTTTTCTTGTACGTCTCAAATGACATCATTAGCATCTGTTGTATCTACAACTTTCTCTGCCCTTCCACCCTTTTTCCTCTAAGGACCACCAGTGTCTGCAGTGGTATATTTACTCTAGATAATAACTGGTGTGTATTTCATAAGGAAGGCTACAAGAATACACATTGCATATCAAAAGTGATACATAGTTGGTAGCATTTCACTCTTGGTTGATTCATTCCTTAAATTTGGATCAGTAGATCAAGAAGTTGTGTGTTTTTTAAAGCCAAGTTTTGTGTCCATTTGAGAATTCTGTTGCACCTGTCAGGTGAAAAGTTCAGCCTTCTCTCCTTGGTTTATACAATCTGATGGCCAGCAGAGCTAATATTTTACAGATAACTAGAATTCTGGCAACAGAGAACTAATAGATAAGAAAGACATCCCCATCTATATATGGAAAGAGTGTCTGTTTCTTATTGGATCTTTCTTGTAGGAGCAAACGTCTATCACTGTTGCCTTCCTTTTCATGCAATTTACAGTTCCTCCCATGACTTTTATTTCTTAGGCTAGTCCTTTCCTTTATTCTAGATCTATTTATTTCAAGAAGAGTAACCTTGATTTCAGAGGACTGTAGTTCCAGGTAAACAATGATAGCATCTGGTTGTCATAGCTTAATCATTTCCAACCATGCGCTGCATTCACCTTTCTGTGCAGTACTGTTTTATGTACATCTGCATCAAGCCTGCACAATGTATGACCCGAACCTGTAGGCAGCTGACAGCTGACTGTGGGCTTGTTAAACCTCTCTTTTCCCCCCACAAACAGGCATCAAGCACCTGGGAAAACATAATATGTCGCTGGCATGCCATCTTCAGCTTGGAAGATCAGAGGTTGCAAAGGTCTAATCTTCATGCAAACCCACAGCAGAAATTACTACAGAGCAGCAAAATACCGTATTTTTCGCACCATAAAAGCACATGGGAAAACATAATATGTCGCTGGCGTGCCATCTTCAGCTTGGAAGATCAGAGGTTGCAAAAGTCTAATCTTCCTGCCAATCCACAGCAGAAACTACTACAGAGCAGAAAAATAATTTCCTCTTGTGAGGAAGGAAGAGATTACAAGAAATGATAGGGCATGGCCTTCTGCAGCATCACTCCCCGTCTTATAGAGCGAAAAATACGGTACTTTCCTCTTGTGAGGAAGGAAGAGATTCCAAGAAATGATAGGGCATGGCCTTCTGCAGCATCACTCCCCTCAAATAATCCCAGTAAGATAGTGGTACCAAATAATGGATTAGTGTGAACACAAAAGATCACAAATTGATACAGTCTCTAACAAACCAGGACCAATAAATTGAACTATGAAAACCTAATCTAGCACGCAAATGGAAGTGTCACATGACATGTTCCTATGTCATCCTTGAATATCTATTCCAAATAGTATTCCAAGGGAGAAAAATTCACTAATAAAGGCCAATATCCTTTTCATTTCTATTCATATGGACAATGACAATCACTTCCTCCATTTTCCCAGATGGCTGTCATGCATCTGATTGAGCAATCAGGGGATGACCAGGAGCACAACGCCAAACCCAGAAAAGAGCTCACTCTGATGGCACAATGGCTGTTGTGCAATGGCATAACCCAACAGGGTTCTGGTTAATAACATTAGCAACAACAATAATAGCATTTCTAAAAATGTAACAAGAAGATCAGGTGAAAAAAACAAAAAGGCGTATTTGTGCTCTACAAGCTTACCCAATGAACATTATCAGATCAACAGTGTTTCAGAGTTTGTTTTGTCATTTCATCCCAAGATATCAGAATAGTTTTTAGAAGAACAGTATATTAAAATTGACCCGATATTTGTGATAAGTACTATGCTTTCTGTTATCTGTCCACATGTGATAACTAGACAGTTTTTATCCCATGGCAGAATGACAAAGGCCAAGTAAGTGTCCGCTATGAATGCCAAAAGGAACAGGATACAAAAGGGAAAAAAATGTAACATGCACAGTTAATAGTTAAATAATAAAGAACCTGACATGGGTTGTATGTTCTGCACAGCCCCACATTTCTGCAACTCACTTTGCAAGACACTGTACATTCGTTCTGCACAGCCCCACATTTCTGCAACTCCCTTTGCAAGACAGTGTACATTCCTATATCCAAGTTTCCTACTAAATCAAGAGAAGATATCCCTGTGTTCCTATTGTATCACAGGAGATAAAATAGCAACAGTGAAGAAAAAATTGATTGAACATTATTGCCTAACTCAGCTACAACAGACAGAACACAACACAATGTAGTATTTCATGCTATACTGAGAAAATATTTAACAGCACATGATCAACACATATGTTTCTCCCAAAGTCCCGTTCTTTGCTCTAGGCTGATGAAGTATAAGAACCACATAACGTCACTCCTTTGTTTTTTTTGTTGTTGTTTTTTTTTGCTTGACAACTGAAAATGGGTCTCTCTGAAGATCCCAGGGGAGTATCTATGAACTTTGGAAGTATAAAGGAAGGAGTTCCTTATCAGAAAATTAAATGATACTTGGGGTTTTCTTCATATAATGTTATTAACATGTTCTAATAGAAAGCAGTAATGCTGTTAGCTACAAAAGTAATGGAGAGGGATTTTTTTTTCTTCCAAGAAATTAATTTGTATTTCTTCTGCCATATCCTGCTTTTTCTGGGATGATGTTGGCACCTCTTTTCTTCCCTGGAAGCAGTGCACGGGTGCAGCAAGAGGCTTGGAACAGCTACGGGAACAGCACCCCCATGTGGCAATTTTAAGCACTTTGGGTGCACCTAGGAAAGATTTCGTAGGACATACAGCATTAGCAAGCTGTCAATGTTTTCTTGATAACAATGATGTCTAGAAACTTAAAAACAAAGCTACAGTAATTTATTGGCCATTATTTTTTTGCCTAGCCATGTGCACTCCTGCTCCAAATTATTTACTACTTTCCACTGATCCTCCCAGTTCTTTATGGAGATTACTTCAGTATTTATATGGTGGCTCTAAGTGCTATTCAGTTATGGTTGATGAGAGAGTTCTGTTATCTTCTCCACAGTATCGAATGGTGGGAAGTGAGCTCCCTGCCCCCAGTCTTTCTACTAGAGCTACTAGTTACTGATGTTTCATTCCTATCTCTTGTCTTGGCATCTTCTGAAAACATGAAGGTTCTACTTGTGCATTCTAACCAAGGGGATGGATGAAAGAGAGTGAGAATAATGGATGACAGCTGTGGTTTCTAAGCCCACCTATTTGCATAAGATTAGCTTTTGCTAGAACACATCTGATCCTGGAATGGGTTTTCTGGGTAGAAATGCTGCCCATCAGTCCCCTAAGGGAACTGCTGGAGAGCTTAGTGGTTTAGGTGTCTGGCTGTAGAGCCAGAGGTTGGGAGTTTGATGCCCACACTGTGCCTCCTTGGCAAGGGGCTGGATTCAATAATCTATAGGGTCTCTGCCACCCCTGCAGTTCTAAGATAAGACTGTGACTACCATCTCAATGGCTGTGCTGGCTGGGGAATGCTCTGAAAAGTAACATTTCCAAGCTTTGAAATATTATTTTTGCATTTTATAATAGCAAGTGCTGAGCGTAACAGCCCACATTTTGATCAGTCGGACCTCTGCCAATTTGGAACAACCAATGAACAGCAATCAAAACTGTGTGTAATCAAGTCAAACTTGGCTTATGGCAACCCTTTTCTCCGTCGTTGAACGTAGAGAGTACTCAGAAGTGGTCTACTATTCCCATTTTCTGGGGCCATCCAAGAACTGTTACTTGGCTTATGGCAACCCTTTTCTCCGTCTTTGAACGTAGAGAGTACTGTACTGAGAAGTGGTTTACTATTCCCATTTTCTGGGGCCATCCAGAAACTGTTCAGCTTCTCCAAGGCCGGCTTGTCCAAGGCCACATAGGTTGGCTCTTTTGGGAATTGAACTCCCAACCCCTGGCTTTGCAGCCAGATACTTAAACCACTAAGCTATCCAGCCAGCTCATTCTGGTATTAATGGTTCTAAAACTCATTTCCTGTATCCCAATCATATAGGAATATAAGAGCCAGTTTTGTGTAGACCAATCCCATATCACTTTGATTCTCAGTATGACCT